CTCCATCCCATTAAACATCCATCTGCAATTCCCAACTCAGAACTCCACCTTTTTTTTTCGTTTGTTTTGTTTCCCCTTTGTCTTTTCAATAACTTCATCTTTTCCTCCAGCCAAACCCCCCTCCATCACTGCACGGGGAACCAAAACAGTCCTATAAAATGATTAAGCCCTAAGCCTTGTTATTCCACTCCCTGAGTAAATAACTTTGCTGGGGAACACTATTCCATCCAAGTTCTCCCTGGCAACGTTTGGCTTGGCGAGGTGACCCAATCCTTGACGTTTTTGTTCGACCCCGACCCCTCTCTGCAGCATCTTCAGGTTTGGATTTTCGGTTCTGTTGTCGTCCGAGGCTTAAGTCACCAGTGGCTGCTCCCGCTGCTGCAATCAAATCCAGCCACATTGTTTAGGAACAAAATAATCTTAGAAAGTCTGTCTGACTCTGGAAGGAGCCAAGGAATTGCTTGTGCTGCTCCACCCCGGGGGGGAGCTGGGATGGCTCAGAGAAAGCAGGAATGTGCCGCAGCTATTTTGGCTCCTCTGCTCCCTCCTCGAGCCCAGCTCAGGCTGGAAAGATGATAACTCCATTTTTGGGGGGATGGAACCACACTTCCCCATCCCATAAATCATGGAATCATGGAATGGTTTGTCTTGGAAGGGACCTCGAAGGTCATCTCGTTCCACCCCGTGCCATGGGCAGGGACACCTTCCACTAGCCCAGGTTGCTCCAACCTGGCCTTGGACACTTCCAGGGATGGCACCCATGTGCTAGCTGCTTCTCCAGGGTGGGATTCAGGGGATTTGGGCCACTGGTTTGGTACCTGGGAGGCTTCCAGGATTGAGGCTGGGCCATAAATGAGGGCGCTGAGCTGGGAAAGGGACGATGCTTTGGCTTCGTCCTGGTGTCCATCCCCAGAAACATCCCTAAGAGGAGGCTCTGGATGTTGCCCTCAGTTCCCTCTGGATGAGGCTGTGGAGGAGCCCCAGCTCCCAGGGTCTGGCAGGGTCTGCTCACCAGGACTTCTCCTTCCCAGGGCCACCGTCCCACGGAGAACGTGTCACCCCACAGTGGCTCCTGGGGGGTCGCAGCAGACGAGCCGTGAGCCTGGAGGAGCAGGTAAGGGCATGGTTGGACCCTCCTCCCTCCCTCTTCCCTCTGCCTGGGGGTCTCGGTGGTGGGATGGAGATGTGGACTTTGCAGGATCCATGAGGAGTTTGCAGGATCCATGAGGAGAATGAGGATTTTGCAGGATCCATGAGCAGAGTGTGGAGTTTTTAGGATCCAGGAGGATAAGGAGTTTGCAGGACCCATGAGCAGGATAAGGAGTTTGCAGGATCCATGAGGAGGATGTGGAGTTCCCTCTGGGGGAAGAACCTTCTCCTGATGTCCAGCCTAAACCTGCCCTGTCACAGCCCCAGCCATTCCCACAGGTCCTATCCCTGGTCCCCACAGAGAAGAGAATCCCTGGGAAGCCTGTGGGGAGGAGAGGACATTAGGACATCTCTTCCCAGGGCTGCTCTGCTGGCTGTCACACCTCCCTGCCACCTCCCCATCCCCAAATCCCCTTTCTGAGCTGCCTGTGGTCACCCTCTCCCGGGTTTGGCCCCTTTCCTGGCTCTGGGATCAGCTGGATTTGCAGCTGCCCCTCGGCAGCTGGGCCTCCTACCCAGCAGCTGGGGGGAATTCTGGGGGCTGTGCTTTTCTTCTGGATCCATTAAACCCCTTCCCAGCACTGGTGCAGATGGTTCTGAGGAGCTGGCCTGGCTGGGGGTGGAGCAGATTCCCCTGCTGGGAGGTGACTTTCTTTGGTGGCACCTCCCTGAGACCCCTCCATGTGAGACCTCCTTGCTGCGGGTGAGAGAGCCTTTGGAGAAGGGGGGGAATTTGTGCTTGGAAGGGCTGGATGGTGCCTTTTCCCAGGGGGATTCAGTGCTGGCTGCTCGTGCAGGAGCTGAAATAGCCCGTGTGGGTGCTGTGGTCAGCCTGGAGAAATGTCCCCTCCCTGCCAGGCAGCCCCAGATCCATCTATATTTAAGCTGGAAGGCACTTGGGATGGGGAACATGTGGCAGCAGGAGGTTTATTTATGCTCCTGCCAACACCCAAAATG